TGGTTTTCAGACTAAGGCGGTCCATGGAGCTCACCCCACCTCCATCCCCCTGTCCCCACTGGCTGAGATAGCCAACCCTGTGTCTCCTCCCTCTGCCCAGCCTGCCCAGGGCTCCTCTTCCAGTTTGGCTTTGTAATTCCTTACTTGACCTGCCATACCAAGAAGGACTTGATTCTCCTCTTACCTCAAAGTGGATTCTCCCAAACCAAAAATCTCCCTCCTCCGGCTCTAGGAGGGTGTTTCTGTCAGGCGGGCATCTTGCCCTGTGTGTTGTGGGCAGCCCTCTGTCTGGCACGTGACTGCAGAGGGTCATCAGCTACTGTCCCAGAGCCAGCGGTTTCTTGGGGCCGCCCCGTCCTGCCTCTGATCTTCCATCTCCTGCCCATTTTCAAAGGAGACATCTCTCCTGTCCTTACTATCCCAGAGAGAAACCCCAATCCACTGCTTTTTTATTTACTTCCCACTCAGTTTTATCTCTTACGTTTCAAGGAGAGAGCCCACTTCTTGCCACCCACGATTTCCTTATTTCCTTGGATCGATCCCCCAGCCTTGTTGCTGGTCAGTCTGCCCTGCCCACCCCCCCCCATGGCTGCACACTGGAGCCAAAATGTCTTCGGAAATAGAAATCTCATTGCATGCCCCCCACTTCAAAAACTCTCTGGTGGCTTTCCGTTTAAGTCCACACCCCTTAAAGGGACTTGTCAGGCTTCGAACCCTCTGAGCCCCATCCCCCAGGCTGCCTGTTTTCTGCGTGCCCCAGGAGGGCAGGGGTCCTGCCTTGTTCAGTGCAGAGCCTGGTGCCTGGTAATGGTTGTTTGGTGTGAGCGTGATGGTGCCGGAGGTGAGGCATGTGCACTTCACTGTGATGGCTAGGCAGCAAGGTGCATCGAACTTCTTCTTCTAGGAGATGGACCTTAATTTTCTCATATTAAATTATTGTAGAGGCTGGGCATAGTGGCTCACACTTGTAATCCCAGAACTTCGGGAGGCTGAGGTGGGTGGATCTCCTGAGGCCAGGAGTTTGAGACCAGCCTGGCCAACCTGGTGAAACCTTGTCTCTACTAAAAATACAAAAAGTAGCTGGGTGTGGTGGTGGGCACCTGTAATCCCAACTACTCAGGAGGCTGGGCAGGAGAATTGCTTGAACCCAGGAGGCAAAGGTTGCAGTGAGCTGCGTTTGTGCCACTGCACTCCAGCCTGGCAACAGAGCAAGACTCTGTTTAAAAAAAAAAATCATAGAGGTTTATGGTGGCCCCTCCCCTCCCCTCCCCGCCCCCTCCCTTCTTGCCACATCTTTTGGTTGGAAGTGGATTTATTTGGTAGCACTCCTTGGGTCAGAAATGGAACTTCTCCTTGAAATACATTCTTGTAGAGAGAGAAATTGACCACGGCGTATTGTAGATTTAGTGTCTAGAAAGTTGGTATCTGAGAAGCACGACCTGCAGCTGTCATGCTGTCTGAAGGCGTGGTGTGTTATTTCCCACCCTCATGGGTCTCACACCTGCTTCCTTATTTCTTGGAAGAGGAATTCCAAAACACAAGTTACCTGATGGCTGCTCAGAGCCCCGTGACTGGGATAGAGTCTCCTGTGAAAACCTAAGCCTCTGAGCCCAAGCTCAGGGTTCCTTCCCCTAGCCCCAAGCGCTGCCCGCTCTGTTTACACACCTCCTGCACATCCATTCTGTTTACACACCTCCTGCACATCCATTCTGTTTACACACCTCCTGCACATCCACTCTGTTTACACACCTCCTGCACATCCACTCTGTTTACACACCTCCTGCACATCCTTGCTTTGCGCCTTGTTCTCGTGTCCTTTAGGGTCCTCCATTTTAGTCCAGGAGCAGACTGGCCCAGGTGCGGCCCCTGCAATGCAGCCTCATTCTCTGTGACCTCAGTTGGGTCCTCAGTATCCAGATTCCTAATGTCTCAGAGCCTCAGTTTTCCTGTCTGTGAAGCAGTCATTGCAGCAGTGCCCACCCTGTGGGGTTGCTGTGAAGATTGATCGAGAAAGCATGTTAAATCCCTTGACATAATAGGGGAACCGTCAATGTTAACTGCTGCCCTGACCGAAAGTTTGTTATTTTGAAATTTGCCACCTGCTATCTGAGTGACATTGGGCGAGTTATTCAGCCTCTCTGAGCCTTAGTTTTCTGTTGTAAAATGGTGTTAGTGTAAGCGCTTACCCCTCATAGTATTGCTCTGAAGACTACATGAAACAATCTCTGTGGAGGGCTATGAATGGTGCCTGACCGTAGTTACCGTCAGCTCACTGCAGCCTCTACCTCCTGGGTCCAAGAAGTTCTCCTGCCTCAGCCCCCCGAGCTAGGATTACAGGCCTCTTGTCGCCATGGCTGGCTAACGTTTGTGTTTTTAGTAGAGACAGGTGTGCATTTTACTGGGTTCAATTTTAAAAATATTTTTAAGCTTTATAACAGAGCAACACATGGGATCCTTGTAAGTGGTAGATGTGTGAACCAACATAGGTGGTAACATTACATAGAGCCTCGTACACGCACGTGCACACAAATGAGTGTGAGCGAAATGGGAACTGTGAGGAAAAGTCATGGGCATATCAGTGCTGATATCCTGCTGGGGATATTACGGTCTTGCAGAATGTTACCATTGTGGGGACTGGACACAGGGTGTGCAGGATCCCTCTGTATTAGTCCTTCCTTTTTTTTTTTTTTTTTTTTT